AAAGGATATCAAAATTATCGATTTGATTCAGTGCAAGCCCTTTTGATCGCAACACTTTCAGTTTCTTTTACGTGTCATGCGGAGCATGTACACAATCGTGTTTGGCACTAGCTTTCATGTCGGGCTTACCGTATTTACCCGTGTATAATCAGGGTTCTCAGTTGAACCCGTAACCCGTAACACCTGTCACGGGTGTCACAGGTAAGTGTTACGGCTGTCAAAGTGCTTCAACCAGTAGATCAATTCGTCTATCAAATGCAAATAAAAGAACGGCTTTTTGAGTAAATTGCTGGGTAAACTATTGACTGTTAGTTGCTTTCGCAATGTACCTTTCTTCGGTTTTAGTTGTCAAAGTGAATAGCCTTTTTGCAGACCATAGAATAACCGAACAATCGCGTCACGTCTCCGCAACGTTGAATATGGCCGCCATATTGAATTTGTAAATTTGAACCCAGGCCTCTCGCAGATGTCGTCTTTCCACGTGCAAAAACATGGCCGATTCATTCATTAACAAATATTTGCGCTATCTTATACTCTTTCTCATTTAGATATATAGCAGTTACTGGGTCAGTGTGGCCTTGAGAATTAGTTTTTGTAAGTGGGTGCCCCCATTTGGAAAGGACTGGTTACCTAATAATTATTTTTGTATAAAATGAATGCCATTAACTCAGAAAGCAAAGCATTGCTATTGCAGGTTAATATTTCATTGAATATTGCAGTGTAGTTTTCAGTTTGATAAGAGATAATTTCAACTTTCCGTAGTTCAAAGCCACTGAACAGATTACAAAATGTACTTAAACTTGTTTGGAGAAAATGAGAAAATATGCCCCCAAAATGAAGGGAAAAGCATTTCTGAGCATCTTAAATAAAAATTTTTTTCGGACCCCCCTAGCAGCTTGGGCCCTATGGGCCCAAGTTACACGCCCAAAGGGCGTGTATATTAGGGTTACGCCTGTAACTACCAAAGCAACAGCTGTACAAAATTCTACTGAGAACCCTGAATTAATGCGCATTTTTTTTTTCCATAAAACAAGCATCAAAATCGCGGTGCGTATTATACACGGATTCTATTGTTTGTCAAGCACGTCCCAATTTGCATACGTTAAAAACGCAACAAAGAAAGTAAAAGTGCACGGATCGATGGCCTGGGGAGGAGAAAGAGCTTGCTTGTTTACAACTCATTTGAAGCTCACATGACAGATACTGTGAACACTTCCTTCAAACGCGAACTTCTCTTCTCCAGTCGCTCGATGTATCTTTGAACAAACCATTTAGAGATGGAGTCCGAAAGGAGTGGATGGCTGATGCAATTCACGAACTTACTGGACGACAAAAAAAAACTTCGGAGGAACTGATCTGTTCGTATATTTCACAAGCGTAGGAAGGCATTCCATCAGAAATGATCGCTGCCTCTCTCTCTGAAGTGTGGGATCACAAACAATTCGAATGGATCACAAGATGAATTGGTTCACAATTCAACTGAGATCACTGATGAACTTGAGGATTCAGTCATCGAAAACCTATTCGAATCGGACTGTGAGTCGGTTTAAAGACACTGAACATTTTACTTAAATCACGCAATTGCAATGCAGTAATTATATTCAAGCTACCAGCAGTACTGTGAGTAGAAATAATGTTTATGAACGGCTGTTATGATAATAATTCAAGTTGTGAATTTAGGTATATTAGTAAGGACTTCAAGTTACAACATTTATAAAACGTTTGACTGTTACTGAATAGAAAAGCTTGTAAATAGGTGCTCGGTGCGTTCGATATTTGTAGTAGCAACTAGTTAGAAATTGTTGTAAACATATTATTGATGAATTCCCAGCTCTTGTTAATTAAGTGAAAAAATGGAAGTTTTAATTCTTGGTATTTGTCATGAAATTTTTTTTTTTCGGAAAAAAGAGGTCAAAAATTAGGGTGCGTATTATACACAGGCGCGCATTATACACGGGTAAATACGGTATGTACGTATCAACTAAATTTGCTCCCGTATTTACGATGCATTTGATCAAAAAGCGATAAATATTTCAGCGTATTTCATGTGTTTATGTTTATCATTTTATACTGTAGTTTGAAAGGGATTTTTTCTTTTCGATAGACAGCTTAGATTGTCCTTCCAAACTGTACTGTTATACTGATTTCCTTGTTAAATATCGAGACAAGTTGATTTTTCTTCAAATTCAGCTAGTTATTTACTGCAAGAGTCCTTTCAATTAACTGCATTCGAGTTTTAGGAATCCAATTCATCAACTGGTAATGATTGATTAGAGTCTGAGTGAAGTTTTACCTTTTGTCATCTGCTAATCAGCATACGATGAATCAATAATCATATCAACTGAATGTTTCCGATCAATTTTTTTAATCAAAACTGGTTTAGTTCTGCATGAGGCTGCATGCATCCAAGTATGTGTTTGTTGATAATTTATGTTGTTATATGGCAAGGTAGTCTTGGGATAAATGTAAAGTTCTGATTGGTTCTTACTTGGTCAGGATTTTGCCACATAGACCATCATTGCACCATACAGAAAATCATAAAACATGTAAATTCATTGTAAACTAGTTTAGTCCAAGTGACATTGGTGCATGACAATTACCATGCTCTCTTGAGGGGTTCTGGGGAATATTGGCACCATGTCATTCCTTTTCTGTTACAACCTTGGGCCAATATACCTCTGTAAAGCCCTGGCAATCACCTGGTTATATAGAAGTTTGTAGTGGTTTTTGTAAAAGCGATATACACTTACAGGCTATTTTAAATTCCAGTTCAATTGACTTCCTTGCTACTCCATTTTTATTGAATTTTTTTGTACATGAAGACAGCCAGCAAGGATTATTTGATATTTAAAAAACAACCAGTCATGATTATTAGGAGAATTAAAGTTAGCATCAAAGATAAATCAATTTTGTGCACAGACAAAAAATACAAAAAATATACATATACTTATAAAGCAAAACTGTCAGCACCTGTACCAAATTGAAATCCATTTCAACATACATCAGCATGCATAAATGTAAATATTTCACTGTTTTTCCTGTGATAAAGTGAAACAGTTGAACTAACAATCACTTATACAAATATGGGCATCAGCTCAACTGTAGGAAATTGAATAAATGAAATACATCTTTTATAAGTTTTGACCAGTAATCCCTATTTAAAAATCAAATATGAAAATTTTACTTTGGTGTTGTAAAATTTGTTTCTTATGAGAAATGATTCAGCATAAACTCTCTCCTCTTGCGGAGACATGGTGGGCTTATGATTAGTGAGGTGGACACACGGTCAAGAGGTCTGGATTTGTAGCCTGGGCTGTGCTGGACTCAGGGTCAAGAGGTCTGGGTTCCAGTCAATGTATTGTGTTCTTGTGCAAAACACTTAACTCTTACAGTGTCTGTCTCCACCCAGGAGTATAAATGGGTAGCAAACATTAGTTAGGGAAACCTGATAAAATGCAAGGGGGGTGAAAGGGGGGGAGATGACAGTGGAATGGACTTGCATCCTGTCCAGGGTTGGGTAGTAATACTCCCAGTTGCTTCATGTAAGGAAACCAGGATTAAGTAAAGCTCAGGGCCTGGACAGGCCACTTTTCAAATCCAGATGTGACCTAACTACCTACCACCTCTTAGTTTAAATGATTTAAATTGCTACTGTTACAAATTATATAAACTTGAAACACACAGATGTTGATTTTTGCCCAATTTATTTCAGTCAATTGCATAGGAATGTCTTTGGTAAATCTTGAAATTTATTGTAACGAGAAGTGAATTACTGTTTATTTAAATATTAATGCTTGTTTTCTTCAATATATATATCTTTTGTTCTTTTACTGCTTTAAATATGCTATTAATATTAATTGCTTGTGATTCTGTGTCTATGTATCCCTCCCATTCTCAGGAGGGAAAAAATATTTAGTTTACAATTGGGTAATATGTTGAGCTAATTTTTTACCATTTGCAACCATTTTTTTTTTTTCAGGCCAGGATGACTTAAAACAGAAACTTTTTGAAAGAAGCATCCCCTTACAGTTGCTATGGCTAAAGAAAGAAGTCCAATTAAGGTTCCATCTGAAAATGAAGACTTACCTGACAAAGAAAATGCTCCAGATTTTGATGAGGACACTTTACGAGGTGAGCAAGGTTCAACTTTGGCTTCAGTCACTGTTAAAACGTTTTCTATTCTACCAGTTTCAAGAATGTAAGCAGATGTGGAGAACAATATTAATACACTGCATGACCACCTTAAAGGATATTTGGCCAGTCATGACTCTCTTCTATGATTAAAATATGCTGTTCATTGACTGAGAGGATCCATGACATATTTGTTATTTTCTTTTCTCAAAGTTCAAAGCAAGTACACAAAGTTATAATAAGTAAAGACTTTATTTGATCATATAACATTCATTTTGTAAGTTTGCATCATAAGTACCATCATCATCATCATCATCATCTTTCCATTATATTATGCAACATTAAATTGAAAGTTTCAACTTCCCCTAAGCAACCAATTTCCAGTAGAGTGCAAGTGTTATATCATTGAATATGGAGGTGTTTAACCCTTGACACCCTAACATCAGTATCCATATTCTCCATACTATTTTTTTGTATGTTTCTTGTGGTACTGAAAAAGAGAATTCATTTGAAGATCAATGCTTCTTAGGTTGGTGATCATTTCCTTTATTCTCATGAGCTTAGTGAATGATTCAGCAGTATTACTCCAAGCTTTTCAGGGGATGGGTCAAGTCAGGCAGGTGCAAAAGTGGCAGCTGGCACTAAAGGAAAACTCTGCAGATTTTAAATCTCCAGATCTTGGCAGCTCTGCTTATGCACTAATTAACTACAACCACAGGTAATTATTAACTACAACCACAGACTTTGACACAAATTATTTTTTATTTTTTCTTTGCAGCCATAGCTGATGTTTATAGAAATGAGGGTAATGAGGCCTTCAAGAAAGGAGATTTCATCAATGCTATTCATTTTACACCAAAGGAATTAAAATGAACTGCAATGAGAAAGAACTGAAGGCCAAACTGCACAACAACAGGGCTATTGCACATTCTAAACTTGGTAAGATGATGATATCCATTTTTTCTATTTTGAAGCTATTGAGTTGTCAGTAGTAGTTTTCTGAAAAAGGGGATAATTTTGAATGCATGCCCGGAAAAATTTACATCTTATGTTGGCCTCTCAAATATACAAAGAAGTAACCTCTTACCCCAGATATCAATGAGCATCACAAGTTTTTTCCCAAAATTATAGTAATGGTAGTTGGTTTGCAACATGTTTGGCTAATCAGAGATATTTATTTCAATAACAGGAAATCACCAGGATTCACTAAGGGATGCAGAAGCAGCCATTGAGTTAAATCCAACTTTCCTTAAGGCAATTGTGAGAGGTTAGATATGTTAGCTGTGCTATAATAATAATAACAAAAGAACTCAACACTCTAAGGTTAAATGAGGTTAAATGGAGTTCAATCTTGTCTCAATTGACTTTAATTAAGAGGTCGAGACCACCCTGATGTACATTTGAATCCAGCTCTTGACTGCTACGCCATTACTTTCCATTAATCATGATAAGAATATTATTTTGAACAGGATGAAGAACTCAATGCGGAATGCAAAGCAAAATTTCAGCATGAATATTTTAGTTCCTTAAGTCCAATGAGTCACAGGTGTCAGATATGTTAAGAGAGTGTCCACGAGAGCACCGGGCAGTCGTGCTACAAGCCATCCCACCGATTTCAATGAAACTTTGGCAGTTTAAAGGGTCTACCCCAAAACTCAAAGAGACAAACTGGTTTCTGTCTTGGTTCTTCCGGGGAGATAGACCACCCCGGTTTTTTTCTTGGTTTTCACCAGGGAAATCGCTTCAAATAGGTAAAATGTATGAAACTCTCACGGCGATGGTCTTTAACCGATTACTTTGAGGATTTGCACACATATTTTTACATCCTTAGTTAATGTCTGCTGCGAGTATCATTCAGTTTGATTGACGGCTTGTCAATCAATAGAAGCAAATATACGACTTTGGTTTTAGACTTTTCGATTCATCCAAATATTTGACAACTTTGAGGTCAAATATCTCCCGTTGCCAGAATGCTACAACACTATTCCTAATTCCCCTTTATAACCCATTATTTCATTTCTGAAAATCATCAAAAAAAAAAATTTTGGGCGCTACCGTATTTTTGTCTTGGATGCCTTTTAAAATCTGCGACTGTGACAAGTTTCTCTTAACTATACCTGTCACACAATTCTTGCTCTAGGCGGTCACTTGACAAAATAAACCTACATTTTTTAGCTCTTTATACAAGATGATTGATCAAGAAAGGTGAAAAATGTGAAATACTTTCGAGATTTTTTTTTGTAGGATTGGAAAATTTGACGTTTAGAGAGATGCATGTAAACGAAAAATCAATGGGAAAATCGTAGCGTTTCTTTCTTCAGTCGTTTATTACTTTATTACTTTTTATTACAACTTCGGCTTTTACAGACGAGAAATTCTGCGCTCTCGCTCGAGAGCAAATATCAATACTTCTATCGGACTAAAAACTGTGCCTCTATCCCGAAAAAAAAAAAATTAAAATAATGTTGTCGTTGTCACTTACCGCCATCGAACATTTCCATGCAGAACTCCGCTAAGCTAACATGTGTTGTGTGACCCGAAGACTCTTAGTAGGAATTATTCAAGCGCGTTGTTCATGCTATCTGCTAGATAACAATTTCAGAATAATCTGCAGATCTCTATGATTATTTGCCTGCTTCGATCGTAAAATATCTGCATATTTTTTTCAAGCATTCTATTACTACACATAAATCTTCATCTCTCTACATCGAGTGTTGCCGGCGTTTAATTGCGTGACTTGAAAAATTTTTAAATAAGAATGAGCTAGCAGTAATTTGACGTGTAGGCTTCCTGCAAATTTCCCTTGATGAAATCCCAAGACATAGCCAGTTGTTTTCGTGAGAAAAGACAAGAAATATAAGAGAAAAGTGAGATGCAAATGCCTTTTTTTTTTAGCTTAATAGCAGCTGTACCCTCTCCTGCAGTCTCCGTCTAAATTTTGCAAGGTCTCTCCTTATCCTCTGCCTTGTTCGGTCAGTTTCGAATTCTGAAACTAGATCATTGGCATCGGCCTCTCCGTCCTTATTCATATTTACAGAGGGGGACCTCATCAATAAACCAATTTTTGTTACGGCAGATAACCGGCTGAAGTATCAAGTGATTTGCTGCTGTATCAACCGGTCAGTCTTAGACAACATTTCTGGCTGGTGTCGTCTCTTAAACTCGATATTTGGGAAATCACATTAGAGGTGGTTGCCTTACTAGTTTCCTCCCTTGTCCAGCACACTAGATCTCTAGGAGATAATTCTCTGCTTTCTGAGAAAAGGTGACTGTTTTTTGTGTTTTCCAATGAGCCCATCCAAAGTCCTCTTGGCTAGTTAGGGGTTGTTCGTCAGAATTTTTACCTGAAGTCCGACCTGAAATGTAGCCATCCCCTATAGAATGGCAAGCCGGTCTTAGTCCATTTCCTCTTGATCTTATCCTAGGCGGAATTTTTTTCTCGGCTTCACTGTGTTTGTCTTTGTCAGGATACATCCTTCTTTTAGCAAGAATATCTGGCTTTCTTGTTCCGTCTATGACGGATTGGGTATAGTTCTCGCGATGACCCGCGTTCAGAAATCTGTGCACGTTGCTGATAAGCACCCGCTTCTACGACTAGTTTGCTGAAAGTTTCTAATGTGATGAGCCTAGTGAGATCCTGAGGTGCTTCAAACTGTGCCAGTTGGTCTGCGCTATAAACTTGTCGCAGTTCTTAAGTCAGAGGGAGGATCGCCCACCTCTATCTATGTGAGCGCTTCTACAATACCTGCGTATCCCTAGCAATCATATGATATAAAGTTCATCTCAGTCACAAATCACCAGTTAGGAAAACTGATATTCAGATAAGCGCTCTTCTTGCCCTTCTCCTTATTCATTGTCGACTCTAAGATAGCAGCTACAGTACGCGTTCTATTTAGGTTTACAGTCACCTTGCCGCCACCGGAAGGACTCGCCACCAGCTTTGATTTCTTCTGCCATCTGCAGATTCATCTCTCTCTCACTTTATGTCTCCGATTTTTATGAGGAGGATACTGGCATTTACGAACCCGAAGGTCTGAATCTCACACCAAGTTGTGCACGATATTTGAGGTACATCGTGAAATTGCGGCCTTCGTAATCTCCAAATAAGCCAATACGCGCTAGAATAAGCTTCATCTCGGATGAAACGCATGTTTGGGATACATCGACGTCTCTCAAATGTTTTTTTTTTAAGCTGTATACCCACGAATTTAGAGGTGTGAGCTGTTGCCGTCCCTGGCCAGCGCGAGAAAAGTAACATTTGGTTGTACATTTTGTTGCAAATGAACAAGACAACTGCACCATCTTGACTTTATCAATTCGAGTGTTAGATTGAATTGAGGGCTTTTTAGACACTCGATTTCTTATATGGCATCACTATGAAGACGTAATACAACTGATACACCTACACTACATGGGATTAACAATGTCTGCTGCGCTGTTGCGAGAAGGAGGAAAATATTACCGGAAGTGTACGCTCTTTTTAAAAAGAGTTTCAGAGACGTTTCAGAGATGTCTATCTTTGATTGGCTGTCACAAAAAAATTACCCCCACTTAAATTTACTAGGAAAAATGAACTTACCAACCCCTTGAAAAAATTGGAATTCATTTGACCGATACGCCGGTTGTTTCAATTTTTCTTTTTCCTCGGGCTGCTATGAAACAGTTCATAAGTGACTCATGAATAAAGTGTTTTGAAATACCGTTCGGGATTTGCCTTTTTTTTCTACGTGCAAATCAAGGGTAGACAAAGTTTTTAAAACATTTGACTAAAATTTCATGGAGTTCACCTCGATAATTTTCGTCGGCCAGAGTCAAGACGCGCCAAGCTAAGCAAGATCGTCCTCCAGTAAAACAATTCCCCAAAGAATAAACGTGGCGAGCGTGAGGAAACGCACATTTTTTTTTTCATCATTGTGATCAAAGTCCAATGATGTACCTAAATTGGTACTTACGGTGTCAAACCATTGATTATGACAGGGTGAGCTTAGTTTTTCTGTCGAGGTCGACGTGACTTCACATTAAAAGCATTTTTGACGGAACAAACTAGTGAGCATCACTGCACGAACCGAGAAAGTAAAAACTTGTATTTATCTCCCACGCGTTTCGTCTGACAATAGTAGACTTCATCAAGATTTTTTTTTCAAGCAGGGTAAATAAGCTTCCTCATATACAAATAGTAAATAAGTTATCTCTTTACTATTGAAGTCAGTGGATAGAATACGCCAGGTGCGCCTACGGTGTTATACATGCGTGACATTTTCCGGACGTTACATGTAGCTTGGCATGTAGCTTGTGAGGCGTGAGTGGCCCAGTGGTCAGAGCGCTGGACTCTGGGTCGGACGGCCCGGGTTCGAGTCCTGGATGGGGCACTACGTTGTGGCCTTAAGCAAGTCGCTTCACTCACCTTGCTTCGTCTTCTCGGATAAGACGTTAAGCCGGAGGTCCCGTCTCCTGCAGGGTTTGGGGTAGGAGACGTTAATTTCCCACGCACGAGATTACTGTGTGATGGATGTCCTCCCCTGGGTTGGGTTGGGTGGGTTTGTAACTTGTAAGGCGCATCTGTTTATTCATATAGATATTTGCGCCGAATAAATTAAGGATGATGAACCATGTACGAGTACGTGATCCGTTGAAGGGTCACAGATTTAGTGTAAATATTTCACTCCTCAACATCACCCAATGTCTCTAGAGGTCTTAGAACGTGTCATTATATGGAGTTGCCTTCTGCGGGTAGAAGACTACAAGCGAATTTCTCAGGCGTAATTGCCTTTGATTTCTCAATTGATGTTATCGCAAACACAGTTTTTGGGAGTCACGAGACAAAAAAAACTTATCAGGACCTAGTTTCATGTTCTAATGGAAATAAATAGCAAATAAAAACACATTTTCTTGAGAAATAAAGTCACAAATGACGGGGGTTCTCCGAAACAAATAATGATAAAAAAAGATTTCAGTTCTGGTCAATATTGACTTTTCATGGCCTACTTCCAAATCTGAGGGAACGTGCTGAGGGAATAAAAAAACATAAATGTGTGATAATGCAAGTAAGAGAATGAAAATACAAATAAAGAAAAGGGAGAAAACATAGGAACCCGTGTTGCAGCGTGCAGATATCTTTTGAACCAGACCTAGACACATAAGCCCGACACCGGCCAGAGAAACTCGAAAGAGTCCTGTATATGAACTAGCTCGCACGTGCACGCAGGAAAGGCCATGACAATCAGCGAAAATAATAGCAAATGCAGATGATATTTGCAGTCAAAAAACAACAAAATAAGATAACAGAAGGATTAGGAACTTTTTAGAAGTGTCTTCTTGAAAAAAAAAAAAAAAAAACACAAGCAATTTTACTTCTCATAAAAGGTCACACAGTGACCCTACAAATACTATTCCTATACGTGGAATTTATTGATGGTAGAAAGTGGAAAAAACATTTTCCACTCTTATTTTCTGGAAACACGGCGTAGTTAATGAATTTATGAGGCTATTGATATTTTACAAATAGAGAAGCACGAAAGAAGTGTAGGGAGAAACACGAGACGTAGTCGAGTGCTTCTTTCCACTTCTTGAGTGCTCTAGCCGCTTCTTAAGTGCTTTATAACAGAACAGAGCACAGTCAAGGCTTCTCTATTTGTTTTATAATTACCCAAGCATTACTTTCAATTTCCAAAACAAACTTTATTTCCAAAGCGAACAACAATGTCGTCAGCATGCTCTATACTCTCATAAAGCACACTGCAATAAGCCAATCAGAATCCTTGTTAGAATGATTCAAATAATCTGATTGGCTGTACAAGACTAAAGCTGTCAAAAGTGTCAAACCATCGAAGTCCAAAAACCATCAAAGTTCACATTCTACTATAGTTTACAAACTAAAATAGTTCGGCAAGTCGAACTTGACAATTTTGCGTGAAGTTTTTGAGTCTCTAATACAGAATCTTGAAGTGAAATGTTCAGTGAACTTCAGCCGAATTATGGCTCATAAATACACGCGAGTTTTTTCCACATGACAAGGCAGAAAACAAACTATTCAAGGCGAGTGTTTTTTGAATGAACGACAGCCGAATTCACCGGAACATAAAGATCGCTCGTGATGAAAGCGCCGCAAAACTCGGTTGCAGTGGCTGATGTGAATTGCTCTAGCTCAGCTCTATGCTCTTTACTCTCATAGAGCACGCTCTTTCAACCAATGACAGCGTGCGTTATATGCGAACTTTATTATAATTCTTAACAAATAAGGGGGGCAGAGTTTCCCGTCATTCGCGGTATGGAAAAGCCGAAGTTGTTACTCTCGGAACTTGTACATCAACAAGCAGGCGACATGTGACCTTAAAATCTCCTCTCCTGATTATAATGATAATAGACGATCAAAGTATAGGCTAATGAATGTTTTGTTCTGTACAAGAGCCCTATGTCCTGATTTTTAGCAAATCTTCAAAGTAATAAACAAACTGAAGAAAGAAACGCTACGATTTTCCCATTGATTTTCCGTCAACATGCATCTCTCTAAACGTGAAATTTTCCATTCCTACAAATTATCTCGAAAGTTTTTCACATTTTTCACCTTTCTTGACCAATCATCTTGTATAAAGAGCTAAAAATGTAGGTTTATTTTGTCAAGTGACCGCCTAGAGCAAGAATTGCGTGACAGGTGTAGTTGAGAGAAACTTGTCACAGTCGCAGATTTTAAAAGGTATCCAAGACAAAAAAAATACGGTAATGCCCAAAGATTTTTTTGATGATTTTCAGAGATGTAATGATGGGTTATTAAGGGTAATTAAGATTAGTGTTGTAGCTTTCTGGCAACGGGAGATATTTGACCTCAAAGTTGTCAAATATTTAGATGAATCGAAAAGTCTAAAAATACCATCGTATATTTGTCTCTGTTGATTGACAAGCCGTCGATCAAACTGACTGATACTCGCGGCAGCCATTAATTAAGGATGTTAAAATATGTGTGCAAATCTTAAAAGTAATCGGTTTAATACCATCGCAGTGAGAGCTTCATACATTTTACCTATTTGAAGCGATTTCCTTGGTGAAAACCAAGAAAAAGCAGGGGGTGGTCTATCTCCCCCCGGAAAGAAACGAAACAGAAATCAGTCTGTTTTCTGGAGTTTTGGGTTAGACCCTTTAAACTGACAAAGTTTCATTGAAATCGGTGAGATGGCATGTAGCACGACTGCCCGGTGCTCTCGTGGACACGCTCTGAAGTCACTATCTAGCTGTTTTAAAAAGAAGGATCAGGACTTACCTAACTTTTAGTGTTTTTGTGGCAGTTGTTGATCCCAATTTAAGTGTTCTTAGAAGTTTCAGTTGTCTGTAAGGCTAAATAAATCTAACAACCCTAATAGGGCCTGTTTATTCTTTTTCGTTTTTTTTTTTTGTATTGTTTTGTTTTGTTTTTTTTTTTCTTCTGGTCTGTAATGATTTCAATGGTTTCAGGTTCTTTTCTCAGCATTGAGCTACAGTAATAGTATGCTTCTTTGTGTTGTTGCCTACAGGAGCCACTGCTTGTGTTGAATTGAAGAGATTTGAAGAAGCAACCACTTGGTGTGATAAGGGACTAGCTGTATCCTTTGAAGGAATCTTTCATTTTTAACCGTGGGTATAATGGAAAAAAGTTTCCATAATTTGATGTTTCAAGGGAGAAAATACAAAGAAGGGTATTAATTATGATGGGAACTTGTCAGCTCATATACTTTAAGTATGTGTGATTAAAAACAAAGGAGAAGTTATTACCTCATGACTTATTAATGAAATTACTCCTTTTAGCCAATTTGACTTAGTTATACTATCCATGCCAATAACTGGTACATTAGTTTAAATAACCCTTTAATTTCCCAGACCAAATTTGTAATTGTCCTTACTGTCAACCATACAATTCTTGTAATGTTAGTACAGAGAATTTATTATTGCATCAACTAACTATTTTTAAATTGATATATTTTTTTTTACTTTCAACACTTATCTGATTGATATTGTATTGCTATTGTAAGGAGAAATTCTCTTTTGGTCACTCACGGGAGTTAAAGGGTTAGAAGACTAATATTCATCCAGTTTATACATAAAACTTGGGTAGATGATCTCTCTAAAACAAGCCAGAACAAAAAGCTCTTTAATGTTTACATATCTTATGCAGACTTTCTGCCTTCGACCTTTTGCCTCTACTTAGAGACTCAGAAACTTTCGTTGTGCTTTCCTATGGACAAATAAAAATTTTAAAGATATGTATTTATTTTATGTATTTTTGTTTTTTCCACATTTTTAACCCTTAACATAAAAAAGATTGACAAAAACAATGGGATCTTGTCGTCATTAAGACTTCACTCTGTCAGTGAAGTGGGAGATAAGTCCATGGAGGAAAAAGATCCTATTAGTCATGACCACGGTAGTGCAAGTTCAGGTGATGTCAAGAAAGTCATAGATCAGGGAAAAGAAGCCATAGAGTACCACAACCTACGTCTTAAAATAGCTAAAGAAGTAGGAGACAAGCATGGGGAGGGTACTGCTTATGGCAATCTTGGCAATGCTTATTTTAGTCTGGGTGATTTCAAAAAAGCCATAGAGTACCACAACCTACATCTTAAAATAGCTAAAGACGTAGGAGACAAGCATGGGAGGGTGCTGCTTATGGCAATCTTGGCAATGCTTATCACAGACTGGGTGATTTCAAAAAAGCCATAGAGTACCACAACCTACATCTTAAAATAGCTAAAGAAGTAGTAGGAGACAAGCGTGGGGAGGGTGCTGCTTATGGCAATCTTGGCAATGCTTATTTTAGTCTGGGTGATTTCAAAAAAGCCATAGAGTACCACAACCTACATCTTAAAATAGCTAAAGAAGTAGGAGACAAGCATGGGGAGGGTGCTGCTTATGGCAATCTTGGCAATGCTTATCACAGTCTGGGTGATTTCAAAAAAGGCATAGAGTACCACAACCTACATCTTAAAATAGCTAAAGAAGTAGGAGACAAGCATGGGGAGGGTGCTGCTTATGGCAATCTTGGCAATCCTTATCTTATTCTGGGTGATTTCAAAAAAGCCATAGACAACTACAACCTACATCTTAAAATAGCTAAAGAAGTAGGAGACAAGCATGGGGAGGGTAACGCTTATAGCAATCTTGGCAATTCTTATCACCGTCTGGGTGATTTCAAAAAAGGCATAGAGTACCACAACCTACATCTTAAAATAGCTAAAGAAGTAGGAGACAAGCGTGGGGAGGGTAACGCTTATGGCAATCTTGGCAATGCTTATCACCGTCTGGGTGATTTCAAAAAAGCCATAGAGTGCCACAACCTAAATCTTAAAATCGCTAGAGAAGTAGAAGACAAGCGTCGGGAGGGTAACGCTTATGGCAATCTTGGCATTGCTCATGGCAGTCTGGGTGATTTCAAAAAAGCCATAGAGTACCACCACCTACATTTTAAAATAGCTAAAGAAGTAGGAGACAAGCATGGGGAGGGTGCTGCTTATGGCAATCTTGGCAATGCTTATGACAGTCTGGGTGATTTCAAAAAAGCCATAGAGTACCACAACCTACATCTTATAATAGCTCAAGAATTAGGAGACAAATCCTGGGAGGCAATTACCTACTCTTCATTAGGATTGGTTTTTGAGTTACAAGGTAGACTGCCAAAAGCCGTTGAATATTATCAAGCTAGCATAAACTTATTCAATTCCTTGAGAGCACTTCTAATATCTAAAGATGAGTGGAAAGTTAATTTTCGAAATCAGCATCAAAAGGCGTATACGGGTTTGTGGAGAGTTCTCGTAGAACAAGGTAATGTAGATGAAGCCTTATTTGTTGCTGAGAAAGGACGAGCTCAAGCTCTGACCGACCTCATGGAATCCAGTTTTTGTGGTGGAACAAGTCACCACAAGGGAGAAGATGAAGATTGCGCAGTTTTAAAAAACGTTCCATCCAACACTGTCTTTCAGGCAGTGGACAAAGCTAACGTCAATCTTTGGGTTGTGTCTGAAGGAAAACAAGTCTACTTAAGACAATGTAAACTCAAAGGTTTTGGTTCAGAGAATAGTGGATCTAGCCTGTTCTTTGAGTCGTTCATGCTCGGTGTCTATACACAACTTGGTGTTCGTTCTAATGTGAGATGCGAGAATCGATCTTTAGATGCTTTGAGGGAGGGCCGTTCAAAAGTGGATGAGAAACCAAAGAAGCCAAGCCTCAACCTCACATCCAACAAGACGGATGCTTGAGCACTTTGTATGATATCGTTATGATGCCGGTGGCTGACTTGATTGAAGGGGATGAGCTACTCATTATTCCTGATGGACCCCTGTGGATCGCTCCTTACGCTGCATTGAAGGATGGTAATTCTAAATACCTGTGTGAATCGTTCACAATCCGAGTCGCTCCATCGTTAGAAAGTCTTAGACTCATTGCTGATTGCCCAGATGATTATCACAAAAGCAGCGGTGCGTTACTTGTAGGAGATCCGTGGGTATCCGAGGTTACTAACAGCGAGGGAGAGAAAGTCCTCAAGCAGCTTCCGTGTGCTAAAGAAGAAGTAGAAATGATCGGAAAAATTCTGAATATCACACCAATCATTGGCAGTCAGGCCACGAAACAAGAGGTGTTGAAAAGACTCAGTTCCGTTTCCCTAGTTCACTTTGCGGCACACGGATGTATGGAAACTGGCGAAATTGCTCTTACACCTGACCCACACCGAATGTCTACTGTGCCAACGGAGGAGGATTACATTTTAACAATTGGAGATGTGTTGAATGCTCAACTTCGGGCCAAACTTGTTGTGCTTAGTTGCTGCCACAGCGGCCGGGGCGAGATCAAGGCTGAAGGTGTGGTTGGCATTGCACGCGCTTTTATGGGGGCTGGTGCTCGATCTATTGTGGTGTCCCTGTGGGCGATTGATGACGAGGCTACTCTTGAGTTCATGAAACACTTTTATCAACAACTTGCAGGAGGTAAACCAGCAAGCGAGTCACTGAACCTGGCCATGAAAAGCCTCAGAGAATCAGACACGTTCCGCGACATCAAATACTGGGCGCCCTTTTTGCTGATTGGAGATGACGTCACTCTGGACTTCTTGGCAAAGGAAAAGAAAATTTAATTTGAATATGAAATCACATAAATGAAAACTTTTATTTCATCTCAAATGAATGACGCAGGAACTTGGAAGGTTTAAATGCTTCTCCATTTTGGCGCTTTTTGGCTATTTTTCATTACTTTTCCCTTTTTTGTTAAATGGAACTTGAGATGTGTGACTTTACCTTGGTGAAGAAATAAAACAGACTATTTCAGTATATTTTGTTCAGTGAAATTGCTATTTTTTACCTTTACAAATTTAGATGCTTCGAAGAAGAGAACAAGATGCAACAAGGCTTCTGCTGTTAATGCCTGAAGTTGTTGAAAACGACTACGAGGTTTTCGTTTCGCCAAAATGACACTCAGATCTATTCCTTTATTGCAATCAGTTATGTGTAAAATAATTTAAAGGTTTCTTTTCTTGTACACAACCAGGAGCTTGTCCACCAGGTTTTAATTACGTTGAAACTCTAAGCTTTTGATAAGCAAAGAAACAGTTTGTCATTTGCAAAAGGTGGTGAAATTTTAATTTCAAAAATCTGATTTGCAAAATTAGTAGCCATATGTGAATTGATCTTAATGGTTTTCTACGTCATAAATTACTTTGATGCAATTTGCAATTATCTTTACAAAGAATTGATTATAACTTTTATAAAATAACTTTTTCCAATCCATTTTAATGAAATCTAATTCCATCAGTGCCAAGATTGCCATTCTAAGCTTAATTTGAAGAAGTAATCATCAGAGATGATGTTGTTGAATTACTGACCATATGTTAGAGACATTAGACCTACTATCAGTGGTGTGGCCAGCCTCTAGTTCCGTGGGCCCGGCCTACAATTGTTTTCCGCCCGCTTGACTTTTCTAATATGACTCTTACAAATGTTGAAAAAAAAAATTGAAATTTCTCAGGAAAAAGGCCTACAACAAGTCAAAGAGCTGGCTACAACGGCCTGCTTTCAATCAAACGAGTTTGATCAATTTTAGTCCGTTTTATCAAACGCTCATCAGTTTGTTTTAGAGAACGACGACAGAGACAACTTGTCTATGCAATCTAAACAAGGAAATAGCGAAGCAGAGTTTACTTTAACTGAAGTTTCCATTGCTGTGACTTTTAATGTAGGTGACATGGAATTTGCTGTTTTCATTAGGAAAATATTTACGCCAATAAATTAGGGAAATACTTGAAGTAAGCCATGTAGTCCTCAATGGGAATTATTTTGGTGAAAATGTTCATGAATAAATGTAAATCTAGGCCGTAGTTAAAAAGGTTCAGGGCTTCAGGATAAAAACTTGCATTTTTTTGAAAATTTCCTGTTCAAATTTTTTTCAGGGCTTTAAATTTACTTTAGTATAATTTGGAGATGTCTGATGATATCTTTCTTAGATCTAAGAATTTATACTTAGGTATTCAGAGCACGCTTTGTAATTAGAACCCGTTGTGTGGTCAAAAGTTTAAGGTATACTGTATCACAGCTGTTTTAAAAGAATTTTTTGTCAAATCAATGTTAATTTTTGACAGATTTTCATAACTACCATTGGTATATGCTGATATAAAATGTAATAGTTAACCTTGCACATGGTTGAATATGATGTAACGTAGGATTTTAAAAACAAGCTGGGACAATTTCGACTAAACATTCTTTTTATAATATCAGTGTATTTGGTGTGAATTGTTTTGATGCTATTTGTATTTAAAGTTGAAGCTATTTGTTCATTTACCTAAGTTTTTTTTATTCATTGACTCATTAACTCCCAAGTTGTGAAGAAAAATTCTCCCAACTGATAAGAATGTGTTTTTTGTTGCTTCATTCTGAGAATTCGATGAAACATAACGTTTCTAGTGAAAAATAATCCGCTAGTTTAGATTTTCTCTAATTCTTATTGACACCATGTTTGTCGGTGCATTAATTTTGTGAGGAGAATTTAAGTTATGACCAATCTTGGGAATAAATGGGTTCATTTTAGTGTCTCCGTTTAGCGTGTACTTTACTTAATGCCTTGAACAATTTAATGCAGTTTGTATTTGTACTTTTTTTACTTTTTGTGTAAGAGAAATAGAGAGTGTATAAAATACAAAAACTGCCTTTGTTTTCATTGTCTGTCTCCATATTCTAAGGATTCGAGGACTTCAATGCTTGTTTTGACCCCGCGCGCCAAGTTGATAATCATTGCAGCTGACAGTGTACTGACATTCCATGTTTCAAGCGCTCGTCGACTCTTCGATTGTGTCTCTTTCACTGTCTACCGTTCTCCATATTGTCACACGATTTTGAATGCCGACGGACGTGTTCTTACTGTTACCTGTGTGCGCCCTTTTTACCTTTTTACACCTTTTCACATTTGTGCATCTGTTTTTTCTCCTTCCTTTTCTTCCTTCCCTTTTTTTCATCGTACTTTTCCTTTATTCCCATTTTTACACGCACTTCTTTCATCGCCCTCAACTTTATTCTTCTACGCGCCTCATTAGACGCGACTTTTTCCTTGTCTGTTTCAGTTTTCATTCGTCTCAATCCTCGCGCAACGTCAGGTCTCTTGCAACTCATATACCTTCTTATTTCCCCAGAGTAGTTGTTATTATGCTTATTTTGTTCACTTTAGAATGCTGTCCTCTTAGCATCATGTCTAGTAAAATCTTAGTTTTCCTTTCGACTCATTCCCAGTCCACAGGGGGGTCTCAATTTTAAGTCCCACTTGCCAGTGTTTGCTCTCCTCGGTCCCCTCATCACAGTAGCAGCTATAAAACGAAAGAGCTCCCTCCATGTCTCTGCGACATAATCGATGCATTTTGTTGGAAACGAGTCCTTTAATATCCAAATTAAGGCTTCTTCTGTCACTGATTGGGAATGGATCAAACTCTCGCCCAGGGTCCACCTACATCGCGAGTCCAAGATGGCAGCAGGCCAATCCAAAGACTTCTCCGAGTCGGTAACCGTCATCTTGGATGTAGACGCAGAGAGGAACTTGAAAAGTGTTTTTACAAGACAATAATCAAGAAAGGTTAAGTTATTGTAATGCTTCCTAAGAGGTAGTCGATAACAGCCCGAGAGATTCATTAGGACAAACACGTTCCGTCGATTATTGGACTCCATGTCTCCTTACGTTGTAGAACAAACTCCTCGAATACGTACGCCTATATGCCCCTCTCCTCCTCCCCTAAATAGCACTATACATCCCTTTATTGAAACTTTTAAAATTATACAGCACAATACAACATTATACCCCTGAGTAGCACTGTAAATCCGTGAAATGAAGTAACTGTGCAGCGCATCACAACAATATGAACCCCTAAATAGTACTATGCTTCCCTCTACTGAATTTTTTTCAGCATACAGCGCTCTATAAACTATTGCTCCAATTTAGCACGAAAATAATTGTGGATATTTGTCCGCGGACATCATCTATTCCAAGATGCCAAAACTGTGAGCTTCGAAGGACAATGTCCAAGGACAAATATCCGAACATATTTTCGTGCAAAAGAGAGGCTATTGTGATTTTTATCCTTCAGTTATTTTGCAACGCTCGTGAAAGAATCTCTATGAACAGTTCACTGAATTGAATTAAATTTGAAACGAAGACTTATCGAGGTAGTCGTAAGGTTTGCAAATTGGGGAATATCGCTTGCGGGGTATTCTCGGATACCACCCAGTATTAGCTGGGGGATATTTAGTCATTTGCGGCATTTACACCAATTACACGCGAGGAAAAATATTTGATGGATCATAAAAGCAACAAGTACCCCTAGATAGCACTATACTTCCCTCTTCCACAATTTACATCACAATACAGGGCTATAAAACAACATGTACCCTTAAATAGTACTATACTTCTCTCTTCTGCAGTTTACATCACTATACAGCGCTATACAACAATATGTACCCCTAGATACCACTATACTTCACTCTTCTGCACTCTACATCACGATACAGCGCTATAAAACAACATGTACCCTTAAATAATACTATACTTCTCTCTTCTGAAGTTTAGATCACTATACAGCGCTATACAATAATATCTACCCTTAGATAGCATTATACTTCTCGCTACTGCAGTTTATATCACTATACAGCGCTATACAACAATATGTACCCCTAGATACCACTATACTTCACTCTTCTGCACTCTACATCACGATACAGCGCTATACAACAAT